TATTTTTTTTCAATTATTTTTTTGAATTGTGTTTTATTTTCTAAAGATTATTTTTATTATTATTCGTAGTGTCGCTTGAAATTTCTTCACCTGACATCTACGTGATGAACGTGTATGTGAGTATTCCTCTCGTTAGTGTTGTTGTTATAGTTTTGGAGTTCAAGAGGGCAATTATTTATAGAGCTGAGATCTTGCTAATAATTGAAGCATGATCAGTGAGTGTGTTTATTAAATGGGTGGGTGTAATTTGAGCAGGTGTTGAGTGAAAATCGAGTTTTTGAAAGTTGCTTTGGAATTTTTCTGGAATAAAGGTGTATTTGTGTTGGTGATTAGCGATTTTATTTATTTCTAAAGCAGTTGAGTTTTGATGTTCTAATTGAGTTGAATTATTAGATTCAGAGTTTGTTTGTGTGTTTAAAAGACAGGTTTGGACTGTACCTGCAATGAATGTATTATTTGAGTGATTATTAGTTTTTAATGTTTGAGAAGAGGTGGATTTATCATTTACTGATTGAGATGTAGTACTGGATTCGGAGCGCGTTTCCGTTATTTTTTCGTTTTGAGAAACTGTGGAAGAGAATGTTTTATAATTTTCTGAGAAAGAAGGAGTTGAATTTCTATGAACCTTAATTGCTTCTCGCATTGTGCATTTCCTCGTTACTTTGATTTTGAGTATTGCTTTTGTCTGAAGAAATTTGGGGCACTTGTTGGATGTAGAGGGGTGATTGGCAGAGCAGTTAGCGCAGAAAATACGTGTACATTTCGTGGGGGAGTGAGGTGGTAGGTAACAATTTTCACATGCTGGCGATCTCTTGCATGATTTTATTGTGTGACCTAGCTACTGGAATTTTTTGCACCGCATGGGGCTTGGTACATATTGTCTTACTTTTACATTTCGCCATGCGATGTCAATTTTTTCGGGGAGGTGGTATAAATCGAAAGTCAGCAGTACTACTCCAGTCGGATACAAGGAATCATTATTAATTTTTTTTTTAAATTTGTTAGCGCCAACTACTCCTTGAGTGCCTAGTTCACTAATGATGAAAGGTGCATATATTGTTCCTTTGTTGTTGTTTAGATTCTCGTGGTATTTGCCCTTGACGGCACAAATACCCGGAAGATTTTTAAGTGCGAGAAATCTTTCAGTTTAAGTCTTAATTGTTCGCAAATCTGAGGAATTGTCAAGCTACAGCGAGCGAGTCGAATATGAGCACGGGTTGACTTCTGTAAGCGAACGCCCGGTTATCTCTATTTCATATATAAGGATGTGTAGACAGTAAAAATCGCATACTAACTGTGGATGAGGGTGCGTCTCTTTCGATAGTTAGAGACTATTAGCTGGGACAAAGTTGCGTACTCTAACTGAATCAGATACTAAAGTTCTTGGAAAATACCGTGCTGGATCGTAATTGAAAAGGTAACGGTGTTACGTAATTTTATAGTGGCAATCGTCGACGAAGTCATAAATGGAGTAAGTTTTAAAGCTAGGAAAGGAATTAAAATCGACATGGCAAACATGGGGCACTTATGTTCCGTTATGGTAAGAAACACAACATTAGATGAGTGATAATAAAAAAAACCTGAATAGATAGAGACTGTGGGACAAACAAGTTGTCGGCTGCCAAAGCCGCAGAAGAATATGCATCAAACTTACTTTTGGAAAAAACTCTGATTATAACAAGACAAATTTGTTAAGTTGAACTATACGTCTTGGGGAAAACTCCATAAACAACTCCTTCTCCTATACTCCATCGTATTTCAGAAAGACGATTTTAAACTAAGTAGAATCAGAGTTTTGAAACATTTTTTTAACATATTAGGTGATGCAAGACCAGGATCTTCGTGGAGTTCCACTAGCAAAACTTGAAGTTGTAAGCCAGACGATCATGAGGATCTGTGTGGACTTTGAAAAGTGGTTAATGGCAAGTGGAAGTAAACGAAGTAGGCAAAGAAAAGACGGCTTTCAACGTTGGAGATGGTTTATGTCAATTTACCCTAATGCCTATGAATTATGTATTGTCCCGCCCCAATTGAGAGACTTATGTGCTAGCTATTATTACATAACAAACATTTTCATTAATTATTCCAAAGGTCTCGGTGAGTTGCATATACCCTCAACTTGGACCGTTGTGCAGCTTTTTGAGAATTTCAGGGACTCTTACTTTCAGATCAATCTTAAGGGTTTGGGAGCGTTGCCCATATTCGCACTCCAACTGTTCTGCTATAGCCAATATGCCTTTCCATTAAGCTATCTGCAGCTATTTCTTTTTTCGTTGGATGTTATTGTCATTAATCGGATAGTCTTTTTTGGATTTTTAAGCAATGTCTAATATATAAACAATACCGGAAAACACAAAAAAATTAATGAAGTAACATATGTATACAATTTTTCATGGTACTATAAAAACTGCAATGAGGACTGACAAGTTATAAAAAGGCACAAAGGTTTTTTTTTACATTTTACAATGTAATATGAGATCAAGAAATGTATACTTAAAATACGATTCGGCAGAGTATTTCATTTTTGATTAATCCACTTGTTGAGAATGAAGGACTTGATTTCTTAGCGAATTTAACATCTTATTTTACGATAAACCTGCAAGGGGTCCTAGGACACAGTGTTATCCCCGGGTACCGTGTAGCAGATGAACTAGGCATCACTCTACAATTAAATTCCTATAAATTTTCCATATGTATATGCCTCTGGCTACTTGTGGATATTTAATCGACAAACATGTTATAAACATCGCTGAGTGTCGGTAAAATCAATACCTGACTTGCTAAACAAAGCAGGCAACGAGGCATGACCACATACCGAATGTTAAGATTCAAACCGAATAATATAAGAACTATAGTAGGAGTACTAACAAGCTACTGTCTAATAGGCAGACTTGCGAATAGACTTGTAATGCCATATAACGACTATTGTAGAAGCTGTCAGGAGGTAGAAGAGGAGGAGACTATTGCATATCTTTTAAGCGATTGTAAGGCTCTCTGTAACAAAAGAATCGCAGTCATCGGCCGAGGGGATCTCGACGATATCTCGGAGGTTGTATAGAGAAGCCAATTGAGTAAGGGGACTTTGGCCGCGGAGGTATCAAAATGGGCCTCCTAAAGGCCTAGATGTGCCATAAGACATCCCTTCTACCTACCTAATTAATTTGTTTTTGTTTAAAAATAGTAATGTGTTGACGTTTTTAGCCTTTAATTTAAAATTAATAAACGTGATATTCGTTTATATGCACTTTAGGCAGACTAACGCCACTGGGTGTATGTATGTATATGTACATAAGTATAATGTGAAATTCAATCACAACAGAATGTTAACATATTTTTAGATTTCATAATTTTTTTCTCCAAAATTAGTAGTAGTTAACCCGTTTTTTCAAGGTTCCTAATTCTTATTATATATATGGCATGTGTGAATAACTGATGTTATGTGCAGCCGGCATTCAAGAACATTTGAAATTCTTACCTAATTGTTAATATTTCCGCAAATTCCTTCTAACGCTTCCAACAACTAATAAAAATGTAAAAAATAGTTAATTTTAATAATTTGAAAATTATTTTAAAAATTGTCTGTACTTACGAATTTGAAACAACATGCGCGCATCCAATCCAAGAATGAAAATAATATTTTGAGGCTACGATTCCTGCAATCCACCTATCCGTTAAATCACCGGTTAATTACCCAACAGCGCTATCAGAGATTTCTGTTAAAGTTTCTATGATGTTCTTAATACCCAATTGACAATTCTAACCGAAATGAATGCTTTGTTTTCCATGCTTCTCTCTAATAAAACTGGCGACTGTTGCTTGGCAAAGTGTAAAAAGATGAGAGTTGCTTTGCTTTGCCTCCAACTTGTTTGTCAAAGTCAACAAAAAGGAAACAAGATAAAACGTTATCTTCGACTGCTCTCAAGCTTTCATATCCTTTACATGTGCATTTCTTATAGCATAAAATGGTATACAAAGAACTCTATCTTGATTTTGATCGATCATTTTGTATAGCGGCTATAGAAATAGGTAGTCCGATTCAAACAATTTATTCGAAGATTAATATGAAAACGTTTTCCATACAGGGACTTAAGTTTGATAAATCTGTTTATATGGCAGATATATCCAATCGTGGTCCGATATCGATGGATTGGACAAATGAGCCAGTTCTTCTGGCGAAAAGGACGTTTGCAACATTTCAGATATCTCAAAAACTGATCGACTAGTTTGCGTATATTCAGACGAACGTGACTAATCGATTTCGCTTCTCACGGTGATCATTTATATATGATTTAAAGAGTCCCCAACGTTTTCTTCTGAGTGTTACAAACTTCTTGGCGAACTGAACTGTTCAGGGTATAAAAGAGAGAGAGAGAGAGAAAAGGACAAAGATACAGCGACAATATAGCAGCGCACGGTTCTGCCGCTAAGGGAAATAACATATGTCCTGCGTGAACTTATAGGTATATGATAATGTATGCTTCCTGGTGTTATGAAACCCGTTTTTTATTTGAGGTTATTTAAGGACAATAAAATTGAGATTTGTAGGGTCCATTATATTCTTTTTAAGCGTAACTTAATAGGATAGAATAAGAAACATAAAATATTGGGAAATAAAGAAAAATAATAATAACAAACTCCTTAGGAGGAGACAAGCCGAAATATATTATACCATCATTACCGCAATCTTCAGTTAAATCGTTCAACAACTTCCGACCTTACAGGTTGTGCAGGAGTATCAAAAAGCTAGTATGTCTATATATCATTATTTCTGATAGGATATTGATCAGCAGCACACGAAATAATAGACAACAATCTAGCAAATATAATTTTTAGCAGTAAACTTTGATTATACAGTTACATACGGAAGTTGAGTATGTTAATACCATGAAAAAAAATTTGGTATTATTCTATAATTCACAACGGAAAAAAAGATTGCTCCCGAAACGGCTAAATGACGTGATGTCATGAATAAGAAATAAAAAAACGTTGTAGATCTGATCTAGATTTTCTTAAGCTCAGTGCACATATTTTATTTGATATCAAAATCGTTATACAGACGATTTCTTTAACCACAAATCTTTTCGGCAAACAATAAAATATTACGCTATATATTATTGTTTTATTAAAAACTTTAGATATATAGAAAATATAATTCCAAGAAAATATTATCTTTCAACAAAAAGTAATTATTTACAAACAGTAAATTGTAATATTTTATTTATGATTGAAACACTGATAAGTTAAATTAATTTTGTTCTAATTGCAACATCAATAAAATATTCTATAAAGTATTCTCAATTATGTAACATTTAAATTAAAGTTTTGTTTAACCACCTCCACCACCTCCTGACAGCTCGTCTTCATACTGCTTACGAAAGCAATCACCTACTGGGAAGAAGTCCCAACTCCGCTGTTGATACATATTCCATACATAAGTCTCCTGACCAGTGTATTCTGTATCCGGTTTGTTGATTAGATGCATCAAGAAGAACATGTAATTTGCAAGATTATGTTCCTTTTGCACGTGAGTATCAAAACCGTGAGGAACTATATCAAAAAAATCTTTTCCCATGCCACATATGAAACAATTTGATTCCATATTTTCCTTAACCGATTCAAGTTGATCACGTAACTCACCAAAAGCATCTATAATCAAACCTTGAATAATCGCTAGAAGTATAATAATAACGAAAAAGAAGAATGTGATGTCAAAAATAATACGATAAACTTCGTAGTCATCTCCGTCGGGATCTCCAATTTCATCACCAATTCCTCCTCCGGCTCGCACTCCTTTATATAAGTGGAATACAAAACAAGTCAGCATATCATGACATTTTTTATCTACCTCTTCATCTTCTTCTTGTATGTAAAATTTGCGGAAGAAGTTGAAAGCTATTACTGTATAAATGTATACTACAATTGTTAGGAGCATTACAGTAAGAACAAGTTGTTTTCCGTTATGAGTGACCGATTGTAAAATGGTGCGAAGCGTTTTAAATCCAACGGCTACATCGAGTAAATGGGCTGCGAAGAAAAAGTTATTGAAGTTGCCCATCACTGAGAATGAGAAATACCACAGCGAGTATAGGAAAGCGTTATCGGTAAATGTAACCCCTGCTTTCCATACTTGATAACGCCAATCTATATTCATTATGTACTTCACCAAACCACCTTCCTCACTCTCTTGCGCCATGAAAGCACTTTTCTCCATTCCAAGTAGATTCGATATTGAATCGAAGTCATATGTTTCGCTGTACTTCTGTCTCACCTTCTTTTTCACAAACTTGTCCCAATAGTTAACGGGAAATGACTTAGCAGATATCACTAATTTGTCCCAGTGTGATTTAAAATCATCATCTTCCGGTTGATCTGCAATGAAGAGACCATCAAATTCCAATCGACGAGCTATTTCTTTCTCTCTCTTGAAAATGGCTAAAGGCACTTTTAAATGGTAGTATGCTATTAGCATTGCGAGGGAGACTAAACTATGTAAAAAAGCAGCTATGCGTATGACGTGAGCCATATAGAAGAAATCTTCGTCAACATGTACAAGTTCTGGTAAGTCTTCTTCGTCGCCTGCACCATCCCCAGAATAATCTCCCGAACCGCCACCAAATCCGGATGCTGTTAGACTACCACCAGATCCAGAACCAAGAATAAGTTCATCGTCACCTGAAGCCTCTCCATCATCGCCAAAAGATGTTACTTTATAGAAGAGTAACATAAAATTAATACTAAAAGCTAACACCAATGCAACATATTTAAGGTTATAAAAATTGCGTGCAAGGAAACTAACGGCACGATGTGCGTACTGAGCAAAGTCAATTTGATTAACCGCTGGCGTTTCTTGAGCAGTTGCTGACGATTTTTTCTTAGCTTCGGCTTCAATTGAAGCCATAGCCGCTTCTTGGGCCTTTTGCGCCTCTTGTCGTTCTTGTGCTGCTTTCTTGGCAGCTTCTCCACCTAGTAAGTCAACGATTGATATTGGTTCTTGAAGTTGATACGGTTCATTCTCTACCGCTTGATCAGCGGCTGTTCCTCCCTCTTCTTGACTTGATTCACTCGTTTCTTCTAATGACGAGTTACCACTACCACCAGACGATTCACGAACTGTTACTTTGAACTGGCCATTTTCTTCTTTGTTAAATTCAAGTCCAAAGGCTTGCACTGGTCCCGGTGGTTCTTCAATAGGTGATGGTGGCAACATCTTACCAAATGTTTCCTCCTCGACTGGTGGAGCTTCGACTTCTTCTGGTGCTGGTCCACGCATTAGATTCATTAGAATTCCGAAAATGTAACGAACGACACAGAAATTGCCGTAGCCAGTATAAAAAAATATATAAAATATCATTTTGAAGAATCCAATAATTAGTTCTGCTACCGACTTGGTTTGCATTATCCCAATTTGATGTTTTATATTTGATGGACTTAAGATATGCACTATGAATCTAAGGCCATCCTTGATAGCTTGCATGGTCCGCCGTATAGGATCCCGTGCGGCACGTTCCTCCTCTTCTTCGCTCATATAGGAACTGTAGGCAGTATCCCGCTTAACATTACCACCACCATCGTCAGTTGCCATTAAGCCTGAAGCGTGAGTCATTTCAAAGATAGCATCTTCACAGAAATTAACGAAAGCTTCTAATTTTTCTTTGTCTCCACCTTCAGTGACTATTGAATAGAAGAATGCCCTCTTGGATTCTTTAATTTGTGGCTTTTCCCATTGTTCAATATTTGAGTCTTTTATTTCAAAATATACGCGCTCAATACGTTTGGAGCTACCCAAAATCTCAATACGACCAAGGAAAGGTTCAAAATAATTCAGCACCGATCCAGCTGTCTCCAAGAATCGGGCTAAACGAGGCTCATTCGGCATATGCTCACTCAGATTCGTCAACAATACGGCTAAATTAAAACCGATTTCTTTTGATGGCTCATGAAAACGATCAACGAAATCGCCATAGTCAATTTTGCCTTCGTGGTTACGTTCACAGCAAGCCAAAAGAAAGTCCATTTCATCTCTATTTACAATTGTAAAATAAAATAAATTAGAATAAAAAGATAATTTTATTTAACAATTTAATTTTCACTAACGGAGTGTAATTCTTAGATTGTTCCATTTTGTCCCTAAAATCTTTTGGAGTCACCCAGCCCTCATTTTTTATATCGATTTCCGCAAAGCTTGGAGATTCAATCAAATCTTTCAATTTTAAAAACATATCGAAATATTTTAGAATTAGTTCTACGTTGCCAGCTGACTCGACCAGTGTGTCCACCATTTGTTTTCCAATTGTACCTGTAATGAATCGAATAGTTTATTCTTAACTTATTTCATATTATATATTGTAAATTATAATTAAAGGTTTTTAGTGTAACTATACTATATATTTGTTAAGTACATGCATGCAATCGAATGGAATATATTATATAAACATAAAATTTAATATAAGAGGTAAAAAAGGAGGAAAATGATTCCTACGTTGACGTATTAATTTTAAAATGAACTGACCATTAACAACGTTTCCTTCGAGCATAGAAAGCATCATAGTAATCATGTCTTTCTGCAAATTGAGCAGCTCTTTCAATAAGTCCACTTGGCTAGAATGTTTTGACAACTTGTCTTGCATATGTGAGAAAAGAAAAAGGAAACCACCAACAGCGTCCCATAAACGAGAATGTGCTAAAGCTTGTTGATTTAATGTACATGGACCTTGAATGACCTCAGTCAATGTATTAAATACTTGACTTGCCACACCGATCGCTTTGAAGAAGTTAGCCTTTCCTGCCGGATCTATGATCTCCTTACTAGAGTAGTGCCAATAGAAGTCCATTATGGATTCTTGTAGACGTAGTAAGTAATCAACAGTACATATTACCACGTTGACTGTGGTTGTGTTGCCCGCCTGCGTACGCAAGTAGTTCTGCCAATCTGCGGATATATTAAATGTTTAAAATGCAAATGACTTGTTGTGGTTGAGATATACTTACCTAGGTTGTGCCCTTCGCAAGTCAATTGAATGAATCGAAATAATGCACAAGTAAACTCAGCATCATGCATGTTTTTCTCGCCAGCGGCTCCTTCCGAACCTACACCAAGACCTGCACCCGCACTTGGAATGTACTCTTTGTTGCAAAAATTTGTTTTGTTTGATTGTGTGTTTAGTTTGGGGACGTAGGGACATGCGAGGTAATTTTTGGTTTGTACGCCAAATCATAAACCAGGGCCAGGACGAAGGTGTAATTGGGTATATATACAACAGATACGCGTGTTGTGTTCAAATTATACCCGACCAATATAGCGTATACATAATATGTACAAATACAATTGATATGAAATAAAATATTATAACAGCAAATTAAAAAGTAAGTTCTACACTATATAACACGATATGACGAAAAGTTAATATAAGGAGGTAGTTTTCTACTCACAATGCATAATAACATTAAGATGTTTGAGCAATATTAAGAAAAATTAGTAAAATACAATACTAACCCCTCGTAAATTGCACTCAGTAAGTTCATGTTGGAGAAAATTCTAACAACAGATGAAGTATTTTGAAAGAAGTGTAACATCTAAAAAGCATAAATTACGGCCATGATATATTTTGCAACTTTGCTGAGTGCCTGAATTTATATGAATTATAAAATATAATATTTTTTCACATCATAAACGAAAATTAATAAATACATCAGGCAGATGTGGCGACTGAACCGAACTGGCACCGAAAATTAGAAGTAAACTTGGCACAAAAAATAAATAAATAAAATTATAAAATACAATTCTATTCACAAATTTCGTACATATTTATAAGTCTATAATGAAAAATACATCTGTATGTTTGCACATCTGTGTAAGTAAATTAAGACACTAAGGAGTTGGAAAGGTTTATATAGGAAAGGGGTTCTATACTCAATGTGAAATATGAACACAAGTATGGTATATAGTGTTTATTTTTACAATAGGGTATCCCTTTTGTAAAAATTTAATTTGTCCTATATTTGATGGCTCAATTTTTTATAGTTGCTATGTAATATTTTATTTAACAATTAATAACGAAAGAATTTAAACAATAATTTATATTAGAAATAAAGTAATCTGCATAAACTACTACCACTTCTACACTACTACTTACATTTTAAATACTGCGGCATCATGATTGTTTATAAAACCTTTAAACAGTTGAAGTAAATAAAGAGTACGAAAATAATCAGGAAATACAAGCGATGACTTGAGTGAACTTTTGAACGTCTTTAAGAAAACGCGAAACTCAGAACCGGACTGTTGCTTCCCTTCCTTCCAATAACAGATAGAAACTGCCAAAAGTGCAATAATAGAAATAATCGTACCAGGTGTGTTAGGTTTAATTATAATTATGCAGTTGGCTTCGAGCGGAATTGTTGAAAAACTTCCGGCTTCTTTTGGGGGAAATGTAATATCTCATAAGCAATTCGATCCATTTGAAGAAAATTTGGTTCATAATATTCTAATTATGACTTTTAAACAGTTTTAAATTCTACTAAATCCGTTTCTACTGCAACTACGGCGCCATTATTAGTGTAATCGGATTTGCGCACGCCTTGGGCTCGCTTTTCACATGTACACAACTCTTCTCTAATTTCTAGCTAAATAGAATCAGCTTATACATTCCTAACATTCCTAATATATTGATTTCCGCTTGATTTTAAAGTATATATTTCCAATATAAAGCAAGATATCTTATTGAGGTTACATGTCATGACATGTCAGTTATAGATAGTAAGACGATCTGATACCTAAAATGATTTCAATCGATAGATAAATTCACTTAAAATTTATTTTTTATAATAAAATATTTCTGACGCAGTTTGGCAAATTCCTTGCAAATTTCATACTTCTATTTTTTTTTGTATAAACCATTGAAGTGAAATTTTACAGATTTAATTTCATTAAATTTTAGATAAAAGTAATTCAAAAATCTATCACATTGAGTAAGAAAATTTTTGCATACACATAACAGTATTTACTTATCCCCGCTCAAATGTAAATGTCCAATTTTCGTTGTTTTAGAATCATTGCAAATTAAATAGTTGAGCCAAAAAATTATAATATTATTGTAATGCAAAATAAGGAATACCCTAATGACTTTTTATTTAATATAACCATTATGTGCAATATATTGTAATAATATATAATAAATATACAAAGTTTTAATGTACATACCTTCCGCCTTTGTATTGCGTTCAAATGCATCCAAATCTAGTACACTACAAGAATTCATAAGACCTGCAATTGATGTAAAGAAACCCACATCTTTTTTCTCCTTCAGATGATTCAACATTCCCATTTGAATGTCTATATTACCACCACGGAGTATTGCTATACCCAAATTTAATGTTGTCATAACCATTTCAGAGGGGACACCTTTTGAAGCGGATATATGAAGCAGCACCATTTCCGCAACGCCACGATTTGAGAGTCGCGCTTGATGGAAGAGGAGTTTTTGTTTTTCCATTTCTTGTTCCTGCAATTTAATCAATTTGGATTTCACTCTTAATTAAATGATTAAAATATATTAAACGTATCTCTAATGTTCTTACATAAGTATGACTTATTAGCGCTAGTTTATGAATTATGTACTTTAGATAGCAGCATGTCAAAGATAAAATGGTTCTTAGTCAGTAATACGTACACATATGAAGTTAGTAATATGGAACGAAGTTAGTAATATGAAACGAATGACTTACATGTATGCTAGCTCCTTCCTCTTTACCCTCTCCCCCTCCCTCTTCATCGCCCCCTTCTTCTTCTTCCTCTCCACAGGACTTTGCAGCGATTTGTGCGTATGACATATAAAGTAAATCTTCTTGCAAAGCTCCGCTTCGTTCGGTCATCGCTCCGCGACAGAAAGTAGTAACTAGTTGTGTGAGCGGATCTGGCTTACCTTCAGACTCTTCTTCTTCTTTCTTGGATTTCTCCGATTCCTCAAACGTTTGAGTCAAGTCTTCAATCATTATCTCTTGACCCACGTTTTCTTCTTGAAGCCATTGCTCGTAGTAGGATCTGGCAAAAATGTTGCAGGCTCGATGTCTAATATGAGTGTAGATTTAAAAGTTTGAGTAATTTATTTTTACAAGAACGTATATTTCATAAACTGAAGAATAGCCATAGGTTTTTTTTTGCTAACTGTCGAGGGTAGGTAATTAACTCACTTTATCAAAATGTAATCGAATATGCACCGTTTGTTTCAATTTTAGTGAAAAAAATTCTGGCACATCTGAAGTTTACCTTAAGGTTAAAAAAGTTCATGCGTTTAATTAGTAAAGTTAGTTGTTTGGAAGCACACAAAACTAAGTTTCTGTCAGTCTCAAACTCATGTGTATGCAGAATTGTTTGCATGAATATTTGGTACATTTGTATGAAAACTTAATAATATCTGTAAAAGTAATTTTTTCCAATCATTTTTCAATTATATTGGGGCATATTAACACGAGGAGGAAGTGTACCTGCTCATGCGATAAAGATGTTTAGCGCGCAAGCTGGATATGACTGCCTGGCGTCGGGCCAATGTAATTTTTGAATTCCAACGTTTGCTTCTTGGCTTAGGACGTGATGCCTAGGAAGGAATTAAGGACACAAGACACGGTATCAGCTACTAAAGCATTGCAAAGAAGACTCTTGATACATACATACTTTTGAGGTTAGTACGGAAAAATATTAGTAAAAGCATAAAATTTGACTGAATATAGAAGACATGGACTTTTTGACTTTACTATACAAATCAACTGAAAGTAATTTAAGTAGTAATGGCCTTTAAAGACATTAAGTCAACAGCACTACGTTTTTCATCTACTGGCGATGTGACTGTTAGTGTATTGAGCAAGCTAAAATTGTTCTCATTTGTTAAAAACCTGGGTAGAGAATGTAGAGATGTTTGACGGAAACATGCGATAACAGCACGTTTCCTTTGTATGGATACAACACTCCTGTAGACGTTCTTGCTTTGTTGTTGGGGATGGTCAATCTGTATATGTGACGAGTTTCACCATCATCGGTGTTTTAATAAATTTGAGAAATGCCATATCGGGGCAAATAAATTTGACATGTGTAGTTGATGTCGTTTCGCGAAAGTGTGAAAAAGTAATAAAAAAATAAATTATAATAATGATATTAAAAAGTGTAAAAATGTGTAAAGAGAAATAATTATTGTATTTTTGGTTTAAAATGCAGTAAGCTTTTGTACCATTTTGTGAACTAACTAATAAAGTTGGAAACATATTTTCCTTACCATATGCAAACCGAAAAGAACTTTGGCCATGGCTACTATACGGTCAACAGTTTCTTGCGTCTTGTCCTTGCCCTTATCATTTTGATTTGAAAGTTTCTCCAATGCCTGTTCATCTGCGAGTTCCTCCCTTTTTCCCAACTTTGAATACAAATAGTGCTGCCATGACATTTCATCTGAAGGATCTAATTTGTCAGGAAGTGTCAACTGATTTCGAGCAAATTCTATGACATCATATTCCTGCATTTTTTTCAAGTAGCGATCTTTGCAATGTTGTACAAGCTCCTGTTCTCTCCCAGCAAACAGATTTAAGCCAACTGGAAGCAAACGCTTCAGACAAGCTACCATTAGACTAGCTTGTACTTCTTTATCTTTGTCTCTCTTTTTATCTCTGTTCTTTTTCTTCTTCTTAACTTTACCACCCGTTACGGGTGCACCTTCAGTAATTGCTGATCGCCTTGTAGCCGTAGGCATAATAAGCGCCATATTGTCAATTTCATTGGTCGAAATAAAGTTTTGTTCTTCTTTAAGAAAGTATTGACTCTTTGACCATATGTTAAAGATTTCAGCTACATGATTATATAAATCTTCCGCTTCGGGGATATTGTCTTTAAGCCAGTGATTACGTTGCAGATCAACATATTTGATTAAAAGTGGATAAAATGAATAAATGTCCCGAACAAGAAGTTGCCAGTCTTCTTGTAACTGAGTTTCAACTTGAGAAGTGTCATCTGTGGCCGATTTAATAAAACCACGCATACTCTCTTCCTTATGAAACATATTTTCTGTACGTTTTTTCACACGCTCGGCGAGTGGCAAAAACGGATCTTTTAGCAACTCTTCAGAAGTGTTAATAATTATTTGTTGAGTGTATGCAGCGATCCTCGTCATCCAAGGGGCATTATCATTTCCAATATTCTTTTTAATCATTTTCAAAACGTTACGGAGAAGTGAGTTCATATGATCTGCTGTTACCATGGTCACGTGATTACCACTCGTGGGACTAACATTATCCGGACCCTGTGCCCACCAAAACGGAAGATAGGAGCATAGTAAAGGTAAAATAACGTCTATTATATGCGGTGCATCAATGTATGTTTTTTCTGATTCAACAAAGATATCGACTTCTCCCAGAATACTTTCTAAATTTGGCATGCAGCTTTCCATACGCACCATAATATCTTGAGCTTCTAATGAGTGGTCTGCAATGCGATTAAGTAGTGAATATTGGTTATGCTTATTTAGATGTGGTTCTAAGAAAGCGACTGGGAAACAAGAACTGAATGCACCCAAGCACGAGCCTAATGTGGGCCGATGCCGCTCAATTTCGGTTTTCAAATATTTTCGTTCATGTGTGAGTGTTCCATCGGTTCCTAGGTGATACAATGCTGCTAATATTTTGTATGAAGCCACTTGTATTTCGTCTAATAGAAGATCACTACCATAATCGCAAGCAGCTAAATGATCAAACATAGCAGTTAATGCTGGCAGTACTACTTGATTTACATAGCTTAACGAAGTAGATGTTTTCAAATGTGTGCCACGAAGATGACTATACTTGCCCTCTTGTAAATTAAGAATCGTATTACCCAGATCATCAGCAGTTTGATTAAAAAATGTTAGCATTGATGTTCTTATAAACTCTGGACAATTTTTTACTAGTGTTTTAGCATCTATACCCTTTACTAATACTTGAAGACACCGCACTGTGATTCGCACATCTGGTCCAAAGGCAGTGAGGCGATTACGAAGAAGTGATGCCAATTTACAAAATATAGATGCCACCATTTCTTTTTCCTTCAGAGAAGCTGCACCTGTGATGTTTGTTGCCGTTGCCATTGCAACAAAATAGTTACGGTGTGTAGAAAAATATTTTTCCATTAATGGAAGTACAACTTTTGAGAAGAATTTTATGTCACGCGAAGCCGTTTTGAATGATGAGCGTCGGCTAAATGTGGTTGATGGCTTAAGTAGCTTCATATTAATAGTAGCACGATCCAAATATTGAATTAATTTTTCTAGTAGAGAATATGAAAATCGAAGTTCCACTGCTGCTTGTGTGGCTCCTCCTTCCCCTTCTGTAACTCCACCTTTAGAGGGCCTACATTCATTTGTTTTAGATAAAAAAAGAAGAGATTTAATCATTCATTATTAAAATTTTATTCGAATACATATATGTGAATACATAGGCATGGTATATCCTCATTTCATCACTGTAAGCCTAATTATAGTTTTCTACAAAAACTTTATTCGTATATATAATAATAATCCATTCATCACTTTGATTAATAAATTATAAATTTATAACTTAGTATATAAATTTATGTCTGAAATTTAGCACTGTTGAAATAGGATTCCTATCAAATAGTTATTATGCCATCATCATTATATCATTAATTACTCACTTGTGTAATTTGTAGCCTTGATTTGCATATACTTTAAGAACTCTTGTTCACGGTCTTCCTTATCTGTTAATAAGTCATAAAGAACTAGGGATCTTGGGAGATTACAATGTTTGGCCGAATTGAGAACGGCGTTATTTCGAGTTAGTAATATGGTAAATTCGTAGTAGTTAAATTTGTAAGCTACTTTTTTTTGACGTGGAATTTGAAGCTTTTACACTTATTTCCATAAACCACCCATAGCAGCAGCGCTTAGATAGATGCGATAAATACGACCTTTGCTTTTTGTAAGGTTTTCTTTTGGAATATTTATTAATATATTTGGATGTTATGGTTGAATTATATATATTTGTGGTTTTAACAATGGGGTTGTCAGAAGAAGCTCTGACTTGGTTTTTTGTGCCAATTTGTAGAGGGTTGGAAAATAGTGACTTTGGTGGTAGTCGTACGACGTACCGGCCCTTATTTGATCGAGTCGTTGTGGCTTTGTAGAAGTCCTCACAATACTGATCTTCTGGGGTTGTACTTGATATGAGGGGGCGTTTTTCTAACTCCCGAAATTGTGAATTAAGGGATTATTTTGAACTTTCGTCAACTTGAGTTGTTGATGTGGAAACTGGTTCTGTAACCAGTCCACTTAGAATCCAACCGAATATAGTATTTTGTGCCAGAAGTGTGTTTGAAATTTTCTCGATACGTTCGAGTATTATCTGTGGTATGAGATCGCTATGTGAGTTTTGCAGTTGCCTTTTGCAAATGCTTGCTATTTATGTGATAGCTTGGAAGCATATTTGAAAGTTGCGGTAAGACTATAGCTTCTGCTTGTATGTGCTTATCTGCTATGGAGGAAATTAGGGTAGTGGGGCAGATTTTATTTGAGTTTTGGACACTATAAATGGTCGTTGTGATCCTTGGACTATTAAGGCCCTCAGCTTAGTTCTCCTCGGTGTTCGACAACTGCTGTGGATAGTAGTACTCTACTTTGATTGCTGTGTAGCGTTTGGGTTTTTAATGCCTTTGAGCAGCATGGTGCTTCTTGGCAATTTTCGGGATATTGATTTTCGGGATTTGCTTTTGCAATTAAGCCCGTGGTTCTTTTCTTATAAGCGCTGCTTTGGGGTGAGCTGGGATATGTGCTGTAATAAAGCATTGAGTGGTGTCTTTCATGACAATAGAAGCAATTGATTTTGCTTTTACAATTTTTATAAGTATGCGCATGTGACAAGTAATTTGTACAAAGTCTTTTTGATCTGAAAAAATTATTTCGTTCGTTAACTTTTAAGTTTTTAAACTTCTCGCACGATTGTAATTTATGCCCTCTTGTACATAGTTCGTATGACGTATGTTTATTCTGTTCGGATGTGAACGATTGCGTTTTGTATGAGCATCTGTTTATATTGTTGTTACTTCTACAATAGCTTGCGATCTGTTGAAGCTTTTATTGAGGTCATTTTGATAGTTTTTGGTTTTAATAATTTTTGTGTCTACCCTTTAAGCGATTTCGTACTAGGTAGTTGGAAAGTCTTTCATTTGTTGCCATGTGGGACATTTCTTTCGTGATGAGAGCGATTACTCCCATAAAAGTAACGGTTTTTCTGATTTTTCTGGTAATGCGGAGATACATATGTTTACCAGTATAGGGTCCCAGCTGTGGGAATAAAACCGACAAACAATTTGAAACAGTGGATTGTAGTCTTAAAAATTCTTCACTTGTTTCTTTTTGAATTTTAGGCAAGTTTATTAGTGTCCTTACTTGTTTATCGACCAACATTCTTTCGTTTTCATATCTAGATTTTAGAACTTCCCAAGCCAAATTGAAATTGTCTTCATTTATTGCGAACTGTTTTACTATTGTGCCTGATTGACCTTTAGGTTTGTATCGGAGGTGATACAATTTTTGTGCTTGTGATAATTTTGGATGGTTGGTGTATACGGCTGTAAACATGTCTCGGAAGAACGGCTATTCTTCATAACCTCCATAAAATGTTTCTGTGTCACATTCGGATACCTCGAGGTGGATGCCTGAACTTGCCTCTTGATTTTGTATTTGTGGCAGCTCTATTCTCGGACGTGGAGTAAGTGCAATTGCATTTATTAGCTTTAATTGATCAGAAATCATAGCTTTTGTTTCTTCGTACTGAGCTAAGCAGTTTTCGTATATTGCGTAAGCCGATGATTTAAAATTGTGTAGTTGATCTGAATTGTTATAATCTACTATAGCGTCATGAGCCGTTTGGAGACGAGTCCAAATTGTCAATATTTTGTTTTTTTTATTTCCAATAACGATTCAGAGATGTCTTGAATCGGTGAAGATGAAAATCTGCCTTGCGCGTGTAGCTTCTGCAGGTGTAATATGATTTGTGTCGTCATTAACCATGTTTGTTATATTATGTATTATTATATGTGTCAAAGTGTAAACTGATTTAAATGTAGCGATATGTGATAATTTATACCGCTTTTTTTAATGTTTTTTTTTTTTGTTTTGCAATATTTTTTTTAATTTAATGACTAAAAAACCGAGCTTTACATTTAATTTTAATTTTTAGGTCCTTATGTTTGTTGTTTGCCAAAGAATAAAGGGTTTTGCCGGATAATTGCCTATGAGGACTTAGAATATATAATATGTAAAATTGTATATACCAATATATGTAATATATGTAAGTAAGTATGTTGTTGGAAATTTTTTTTTTGTTTAACCGCGCTTTTTGTTTTTTAGTAAATTAATTATTGTTAATATTTTTTTTTATAATTTATTTGTTTACTGACCGTCTATTTTTGAAATAATATGTAATTTTTTCAATTATTTTATAAAATTTCCAAATCGAGCTGACCCAATGAATACAAGTATAAAGTATATAAGCATAGGCAGATTGTATGCCGTGTGGATGTATATATTAAATATGCGTATTATTTTCGCGGTACGAAAAAAGCCAGAACAGAGAATTGATAATGCGCAAGTAGTTTAGCGTCTTGGCTAAAGGTTAATATTTTAATGTGCAAATTTGTATTTTTCACGTATGTACGATATATGAAATGTATATATATGGTATTTATTGCGTTTGGCAATTATATGTATAAATAATATAATATATTCCAATATATGTACGTATTATGAATAAGATAGATGTATAATTTTGCACTAAAGTATGCATATATGTTTGTATATTTACTTTTATTTATATATTTTTTTGTGTTGAATTTGGTGTGGGTAAATATACGAAGGTAAGCGTATATTAACAAAAAATTATTGAATACTCAGAATTTGTGCCTTACGAAGTAAATCGTAAATTTATCGCCTATAGATGGATTGATGATGCAAATGGAAGCTGAGAGTCCTCTAAACGATGCAATTTGTTTGACCCATCTAGCTTACATACTTCGTTCGTTAAACTATTATTTTTTGTTATTCATGTTATATAATATGTATGTGGATACATATACATATAATATTAAAGTTTATATAAAAATAAGCTGTATCTTTTCGATAAACATATGTGCAAAAATAAATAAAAGTGAAATGAATACGCTCACCATGTATGAATTTTTTTTTTGAAGCACACACCTTCATCTATATATGTTTGAGGAATCGCGCCCGTTTGTTTTGTTATTGTTTATGTTTTATTGTTTAGATGCTTTTACATTTCGCGCCCGATTTGTGATTTTTGTTTGTTTGAACCCCTTTGTATTTGTTGTTGTTTTTATGTTATAGGCTACACGAACTCATTTATATAATATATTTATGTATATTATTTTGTTTGCCACTGCACTTCACGGCACTGCACTGTGTTTTGTTTTGTTTTATTTTGAGCTTTGTCTTTTAAATTTTTTGTCACCATTGTTTATTTATTGTGTTTCTCAACACAGTGTTTTCTAAAAATTCAAAGGTGCCTTTTGGTAAGTTTCGAAGGACCATGAATAAAAAAATACCCAATTTATTGGGAGCACGAAATTTATTTTCACTAGCTTTAAATAGGATTATAAAGGAAGCACTCGAATCATTAGTTTTATAATTGAACTCCGTTCCAATTTATTTATTTAACAAATTCTTAATTATTAAACAATTAAAATTTAATAAAAATAAAAGTAGTTGTGCTGGACTGGAAGCCAACCAGCTGATTGCGCGAAAATGTTGTCCGAAAAATGAAGGTTTGAGTTTTCGACGCACTGTACCGCTGAGAAGTCTAGTTAGCGCGTAGTCACTATTTAATCGAATGTTGATGTGGCGCTCAGGCCCGTAGACGATAAGCAAATGATGTGTGGGCGATGATCCCGCCCTTTTTGTTAGGTGTATAGGTGCCGTGTTATGGTATGTTGTGTTGTCCTGTGTGGTGTGATTTCATCGGATGGTGAGAACCTGTGAATGTTCTCAAGTGTGGTGTGTTGCATTGGGGTGCGTCAGTTGTTACCGGAGGGAGTGGTGGTACTGAGACTTAGCTCATTTAAAGAGTAAGCCTAATTATAGTTTTCTACAAAAACTTTATACGTATATATAATAATCCATTCATAACTTTTATTAATAAATTATAAATTTATAACTTAGTATATAAATTTATGCCTGAAACTTAGCACTGTTGAAATAGGATTCCTATCGAATAGTTATTATGCCATCATCATTATATCATTAATTACTCACTTGTGTAATTTGTAGCCTTGATATTGCATATACTTTAAGAACTCTTGTGATCGTTCACGGTCTTTACGTTTTTCCTTATCTGTTAATAAGTCATAAGGAACCAGTTGAGGATGTATAACACCGCCGCAGGAGTTAAGCTCTTCTTTCTTCTTCTTTGCCCATATGTCATGAGAGTTCTCAGCCAAACGTTCTGCCATATTTTGCATTTCTCTACTTAGGGTTAGATTTGTCATATCTACCGGATGTGGGTTATAGTTGAATGGACTGCTTTCACTCTGAAAATCGTTCTGCTTGTAAGAAAGTAGCCAAAATTAAAAAAATCAGGAAGATAGGGTTGTTGAATTTGGGTGGTGTTTCGAACCAATTGTATGAAATTAGTATAAAAGAATTTGTCTTTGTTAAGTAATAAGTAGAATTAAAACTATGTAAAAAGAAGTATACATACGATTTGTGGTTTGGATTGACGACGAGTTGATCCGCGATGATTGAGGGGAACATCAATATCTGACTGTTCAATGCGCCAACCAATAGAAACTAAGGCTTTCAGACATTCTCTTACTGGATCTCGATAACGTTCACGTTCCTTTTAATATAGCAACATAAATAAAAAAACAAGAAAGAACGTTGACTTCGGCTGCACTGAAGCTATACAAGTAATACCCTTCATATGTGCTTTTTTAATAGTATAAAAACGCATAAAAACATACTTATCTTGATTTTAATCGGTCAGTTTGAATGACAGCTACTTACTAAGGGGGTCTGATTTAAACAATATATAATATAAGGAGGCTGTAGCCATACTTTGGAAAATTTTTCCATAAAAGGACTTGAGTTTGGTCGGTCAGTTTGTATGACAGCTTTATGCTATAGTGGTCCGATCTGAACAATATGTTCGGCGATTGTATTGGTGCCTTGGATGATAATGTATGCCAAATATCGTGAAGATATCTTGTCAATTTCTTTTGAGATTATGCTGTCGCCTTGGATAATTATCCATGCTAAATTCGGTGAAGATATCTCGTCAAATAAAAAAGGCGGTTCCGACAATGTGCAGCGTCTTGCGGAGAAAAGGACGTGTGCAAAATTTGCGGATCAATATCTCAAAAACTGAGGGACTAGTTCGCTTATATACAGACAGACTAACATGGCCAAATGAACGCAGCTCATCATGCTGATCATTTACAAGTATATAAATATTTAATAGGTTTCAATGTTTCCTTCGGAGTGTTACAAACTTCGTGGAAAACTTTATACTAAGTTCAGTTCCTGTTCAGGGTATAATTAAAAGTAAAGCAATATGTTCATAATTTTGAATTTAAGAAAATTTAAATATAAATTTTAAAGAAGTATTAACCTTTAGTGACTTGGAAAGAATATTGCTATTGATTTTTGAATTTAAGCGAATACATTATTAGTACCATATATGAAAGCCATTAAATATAAAGTATGTTAGAAAAAGTATTTTATTAAGAACAAACTGTTAAAAAATTTATATGGGTTTAGTCAATTAATTTAATTTTTAAATGTTTTTTTCCATGGTTTCTTGCTTTTCGAAATGAGAAACTTTTTATAAGTTTCTGAATATAGAAATTGAACGGAGGTAAAAAAAAATAATGTAGAAGTTTGATATATATAAATATATAAGAAATGTATGTATGTTACTTAGTAGAAAATGTACATACGTAATCACTTAACATGTTGTAAGGCTTCAGGCGAGGATGTTTTCGATCATTATCCGAACGTATTTCACCATACGACCATCCATTTTCTAAACGTCGACTTGCCCAGGCATCATGGTAATGTTCACTAAATTTTTGCACCAGTGTTTCGAGGTCATTGTTTAATTGTACTTGCTCTGTGTCAATAGGTTGGGGATCATATTGTGGCTGATCTGGAGCTCCCGATTGCCGACCATAATAGTCTTCATCAGTATTTTTCGATAAACTGTAATCAGGCGGCAATGCACATCCAATAGCAATTAAACAAGGTAATGCTTTTCCAAATAACTCCGGGTCATAATCCATATTACTGAGCGAATCGAAAATATTTGAGAATAGAAGCATCGTCAGTCGTTTTTCTTCATCAGACGATGCCCCATATGACCCTTGACCTTGAGATGAACCGTAATATTTTGCACAACGATCAAAGTGAAGAGTGAGTAGCTAAGAGTAATATTCGAAGTAGATTATAGATGTTGTTTTATAGTCTTTTTTGCTTTTTGCAACTAGTTGGGCACCTATACTTCTTTCAGTAATTTCTTATAAAATTTAAATCAATTGAATATATTATAGTTTAATCGTAGATAGGAAATTAATACAATATATTAAATTCAGTAGTTACTACTCATTTCTACACTGTGCCTAGCTATTTGCAAACATTCGTAAAATAAAATATTTCAATATGAACGACAACGTACTCTTAAAGCCACGGTAGTATATTCAGATAGTTTGGAGACATCCACAGTCAACTTGCGTAATAGTTTCAATAACATGGCAGGTTGCATCTGGGATGTAAGCGCCACCAAGAAATCCGATACAGCCTCTCTCTGGCCCTTTGTTAGCATACGATTCTTTGACAGTCGATATACCGTGTGCAAGGTTGCATCCAAAAGGCTGGCATAGTTTTCCGCTTCATTGTAAAATTTCGAATGTTTTATAAGTAATGGCAGTATAGAATTACCAATATAACGATTCATGGAAAGGGCCATATCACTTTCCGAACCATCACTCTTATCAAGAATAGTGGCTGTTCTTAAATCAGGTAAAAATGCATCTTCCAGTAAACGGTAGAATAAATCTTGAGTTTCTATACCATACACTCGTTCCAAAAATAGAACAATGCTTTGTTTATTGTTCGGTAGAAGCCCGGACGGCATATCTGATTTCGGTCTCTCTTCTCCTGGTGGTGTTTGTGTCAATGTGAATTTTAAACTGAGAACACCTTGAAGATCTTCCAGTGGGACCAATGATCTCAAAATAGCTCTAGCTCTAAGCGATTCATTTTTTCCTTGTTCAATGACGGAAGCATCTGGAGCACATCTTCCAAGAAGATCAACAAGCGTACAATAAAAATTTAGAATCGCTGCACCAGTATCTATGTAGTCTTCATCCTCGTCTCCTTCAGGTAATGGATGTGTGAAGTTTAAACCAGCAATAGTTCCTTCCGCCTCATTTTGCATGTTGCATCTATCAGAAATACGCTCTGACATTCGGTTAGCTTCCACTATTGCGCGGAATAAGCCTTCCCCTTCTCCTCTTAGAGCCGGTCCTAAACATTCTGGACGGCGGATAAGAAGACGAATGACAAGGTTTGCGTTTTCTTCGACGCTTTCCCCGTTTACCCATACACAATATCTAAGGAAATCTAAATAACGTTCACCTTCCACTGGATCCCATCCCAAGTCTGGATAGCCTTTTTCAACTAGTTCCGAATTGCTTTGTAATCCACATCGTGACAAATAAACAGCAATCTTTTCTAAATAATGCTCCCTTAGTGCTAGAGCCAATTCTGTATTTTCCATCAAGCTTGAATATGCCACATCTAATGGGGTTGAACCTCGTAAGCTTGGTCTTGCCAGTAGAATATTTGCGTTGTCTAATAAGAAGTCAAAATGATCAAACATGGCCTTCTGATTTTGACGACCTGTACGACAAAAGTAACAAAGGAAGCGGCAGCTTCCGACCACCATTTCATGAGATGTGTCTTTTTCTTTTGGGGGTGCGCCTTCTACCCCTTCTGTCTGTGGGGGTGCGTCACTTTGTGCTTGAGCACGTCTTCCTAGTGTATTCATCATAACTGCCATTACGTTCTCGTGGATTCTTAATATTCGTATAAGGTCAGGGTGTTGGAAGAATGTAGCATTATTTACCAATTTCCAAAGGCGTTTCCTCATAAGCTCCTCCTCTTCTTGACTCATTTGTACCGGAAGTAAAGCGCGAATTTGACTTAAGCCAACCCACATCTCAGCTACGTCATCCCTAGCTCTGTTATTAATAACGTAGGTTTTACCAAGTGCTCGTACCAGTTCCCCCACAGTATCATATTGGCGGACTAACAAACTGAACATCTCACGCACAAGCTTCGGGTTTTCTATTTGCGATTCTTCAGCCCAACTGACTATAGTTTTTATTAATACTTTTCGAAAAACTTCTTCTGGAGTTTTCTTCTCTGGTTCCTCAATTTCTTTAGGTCCTTCCTCAAGTTCTTTAACAGCATTTATAAAATTATAAATTTTTGTAACTGGTCCCGCTTTCACTTCTTCTATTGCATTACAATCGACTTCATCGGGTTCATGCAGCGCATTAAGAGATACCTTTTTCATAAGGCTATCATGAAAATCATACAATCGACTTCTCAAATCTAAGCCACAAGTACAATTTTCTTGATCATCAGACTCAAGATTTTTAAAACACAGTATTTGATTCATCTGCTCTCGAGGGGGACAACGAAACTCTTTAGTTTTTTTTGCGGCCACGGCACTTGGAAGGTCCGACTGTTTTATTTCAATGTATCGCCGGAGCTGATCGCCTTGCAAATCACCAACAAAATCATGAGAAAATGATATGATACTTTCAACCCTATGCCGCAGCTGTATGTCGTAAAGGTGGTGAAGAAGGTAACACATTTGAAGCTTAGCTCCTTCGGCCATTTTCATAGTCAAAAGTCCTTTACGATGTTCATCTTTGCCGTCTGTAAAATATGGGTATTATATAACATATAAAAACATTTACAAGGTTCTCAAACCTTTTTCGAATGTGATATCCCATGTTTCAGGATCAATCATTATGAGTAGCTTTTGTACATCTACATCCGTAAGAACGCCAACTAATAATAATCGATCAGTAAGTTTAAGAAGTGGGCTAAGAAAAATAATCAATCGATTTATAAAAATAATGACATACATATATGCACTAATGTAAATTGCTCCCTACTTACAGGAATAGATTCTCATTAGTCCAACCAATTGGATCACGGTTGTGAACTTGATTGACTTCAACTGCTTCTTTCAATGCCTCCATTACAAACTCTCTTACTACTTCAAGTGGAAATTTCGGAGAATACAGCTGATCGATGTTTGGTATTGGTTCACTGGAAACACTTGGTAAACTAGATGTATAGCTATATACAGGGGGTCTTCATAACCAATTTGTGCGAATGTGGATGTGATTTTATATTCATATATAATATATTAACAGGAACGATATTCGTATTGACATACATAAGTAAATGTATATATATACATACGTATATATGTATATTATTGTATGCAAGTGCAAAAGTGCGTGGTGCGAATGTCCATGAAAGAAGGGAAAGAACAATGTAGAACAATCTTGGGATTTTGTATTAAGACTTTAATATTATATATACTATGTATATATAGGATAATGTTAAAGTATAAGATAAATGTTAACCATGTTTTTGCACTATATAATATTATTTGTTAAAAAAAATAACGTGTTTCCTTTGCTCGATCAATTCGCGGACAACTTCTTTTCAGTCGCGGACAACTTTTTTCGATATTCTTAATGACTCGCATCGTGGTCTGACCACTATGGAGAAACTATATAATATAATATGTACATATGTTCGCGGGTTGAAGTGTTTAAATAGTTGGAGAAATTCAAGTTTTTAAAGCAAATTTTAAGGCGAAAAAAAATTTAGATTAACGAAATTAACGATTGGACTAAAATATTATTTTCTACTTCAATAAAATTTTATTTAGGTATGTACTTGGATTAATACAGCACCCACTAAGCTGTTTATTTTAACAACCTTTGTGAAGTTTTCAGAAGCATTAAATTGCTTCCAGACTTGATGTCAATTATTATAGGGATCTTAAGTTGTGTTTCAGTGACCAGCTACTCGAGTTATTTTTATTCAAGAATAAAAATAGGCGAGGATGTTTAAGTTGTATAAATACCAATAACTTATTTCCTTAAGAACCCTATTGACTTTGTAGATGCACAGATTTGCAATAGTGTGTCAATTTATTTCAAATAAAGGGGCAGTTTAAAGTTGTTTTATTCTGACTTATGTTTAAATTCTAGAGATTAATAGATATACATATGTATATATTTTTGTCAATGTTATGTTTATGTCTTCCTACATAAGATTACTGATAAATCATAAATTAAAACTTAATACTTACGTAATATCTGTCATTCGCATTTGGGGACGCACCGACTCTGTTATGAGTGAGCGCAACGAGTGGCACATTTCATCATCGCTGTACAATTCTTTTAGCTCAGTTCCGAGTGGAATTATGTATTCATTCTTACATACTTCCATGGTAGTGGCATGTGACTCCAAATGAAGAGCAATTAATAGGTCGTAAAATCCTTGTCGAAGAGGTCCGCTCATGTATTCCGACCTTATTGCGTAAAGAAGCTGCTTTTGATCAACATGCTGACAAAGAGCATGAGCAGCACGATAGTTTGACTGGTAACAAAGTGCAGCATATAATGTAAGGGTATGAGCATGAAATGATAATAATTTGTCCATCTCTATTAACTCCAAAATGTCAATGCAGCGATCTTCTTCGGGTATGTGAAGGGCAAGCATTGACACTGGATCTTCGCACAGCATAGACCAACCACGTATATCGGAAAGTTTGAGAGCATGTACTTGCAGAGCTGTATTTGGAACACGTGCCCATTGATGAGGCCGGAGACACTGTACCTTAAGGCGAGGAGGAGACTGAGGATTAATATGTTTATCGCTTGTAGGAAGGACAGCAGCAGAAAGAGGTAAAGTTGTAGATGTTCGGCCCAGTTCAATCTGTAAAATTTCTTTACTAGTTGCCTCCACAAATATTGCTGGAAAAAGCTTTGTGTCTGGTTCCATCATCCAGCGGTGAGTTGTCTCTTTCCCCTCACATGTAAAACGAATAATACCAGTCGAGGTGTCCACAAAACACCCAATAAACATTCCCTATATGTGTAATGTTTCATTATATTTATGCATAGTTATTATTCACATATGTATATAGTACACAAATTATGTCACATTCTTACCTGAGAGGCGCCTTTTCCTGAAGAATCTTGCGTTACTTCATTAAAAAGTTCATCAGCTCTTACAACGTAACAACTCTGTCTATCAATACGATCCCTAATAACTTCATATTCGTCTTCAATAACAACGGAAACGCATCGTACTTTTGATTTGTTGAACTCCTTACTGTGAAGATGATATTGTGTTGTAACCCAACCGACATAGACATGTGTTGGATCTTGTCCAGGAAATATCCGAACGCCGTAAAAATATTCATTGATCAACTTCAGACATTCAGTGTCAAATAATTCGTTGCCAGCTGATTCGATAGTTGGTTGCCCCAAAGTGGTAGAGGTCAGCTGCTTAGGGCCTTGTTGAATCGGCATATCAGCCTATAAATATACAAATATACTTGTATGTGTTAAGGAAATATCGTTTTTAATTTAAAGCTAAAATTACATACATTATTCAAGCGTAGAGTTGGTGTTTTTGTAGACAATTGAGCATTTACAACATTGCGACCATGAGCAACCGTATTTCTACGTTCTAGTGATGGTTCTTGGAATGTGCCACCTGTTTTATCTTTACTTTGATCCCGCGTTTTTTTGGAGAAAAATTTGAAAGGGCTTCGACCACGTTTTTTTTTATCGTCAATTCCTTCGTCAGTACCATTTAATCCATTGATACCGTTTACCATATCAAACGCAGCAGATCCTCGCGTATCGCTCGTCACGTCTGACTCGAAAGTTATATTACGTGTCAAGGAATTTCGACGAGGGGGTCTTGCAGGAATGCGTGACAATTGTTCATCTGATTCCACCGCGTCCTCAAAATTTTGATGAAGACCTTTAATGTCACTCATGGTGAAGCCACCTTTCAACATATGATCTACATTGGCAGCAGCTTGTTGTTGTTGAATAGCTAAGTCTTGAGCTTCGCGTTGTAGTCGATACTGTCGTATTTTAATTTCTTCCCATCGATGAGACTTTTCTAACTCATTTATAAATTGACTCATGCAAGTAACAGGTAGAGAAAGTCGTAAAAATTCCCAATTAGCCTTTTCCATAGTCTCAAACGTATTATGAGATATCTTCAAATGTGGAGGGGTATCTGCCCCCCCTGGGATACGTGTAACATCTATTCGACAGTCAGGCATTTCTTCAGTGTTTTCAAAAATTGGTTGATCTTTGGTGTACCAATGAGTTACCGGGCGACGCATATTACTAAATTAATTTGACTTGAAGTACATATTGGAAAAATCGCTAAAATAAATTTCAAACATACACACAAAACGGTTCATAGCCCTCCTGGAGTCCACATGTAGTAAAAAACTTCAACGAGTCGACATCTTGCCCGTATATTAAACGTGCTTTTTGTCCCACACCTAAAGTGCAAGCAGGTACAAATCCCACTCCTTCAGCAGACACCTCTGCAAAAGTTGTTTCACCGCCTAAAGCGTCCATAAGAAGTTCTCCATTAAGTGAAAAACCTGTGTGGGACAGTTTTGCGCATTATTAATCCTACTAAATTTACTGATATTATTAATTAAAATAATTAAAATGCAAAACACTTTACTGCATGCAAATGCAATGGACATAAAAGCAAATAATGTTTATATCATTAAATTATACAGTACTGTATTTAAATGAAAAATAAAACATTTGTGCTATTAATATACAATATTTAAGAAAGTTAGTTGGTCAAATGTATGAGCGGTTTGTTGTACATGTTTAGCAACTTTCGACATCAAGTAAGAGACATTCCCACATTTGCTTAAAGCCTCAAAGTCACGTAAGAGACAGTGGATTGAATTCTGACTTAGTTATGTGTAATAATATACAACCTTTGATAAGAAATAGTTGCTCCCAGTCAAGCACGAACTGCCTTAGTTAAACGCAGCTAAAATGGTTTCCCCAACATACAAGTATAGGGCCAAGGAATTATTTTGAACCCTTTTATTTTAGGTGTTCTTCAGAGGAGAATTATTAAATACATTAAAAGAAGAATGAAAATGGAATAGTTAGTGGGGTAGTTCATAAGCAGCATGCGGTAAAACTTAAATTAGTACGTTTAATAGTCAAACACCTATGAGTATGTAAAAACAGTTTATTGTGAAGATAGTTTAGTGTAACTGTAAAAGTTAAGCTTCAGTTCATGAAATATTAAAATAAATTTTCAAATTTTCTAATGTAATGACAATAAAAAATTTGACCTTAACGTAAGCATAAAGGGCGCTGCATTACACATTCTTTAATTTTTATTCCTCAATTTCGCATGTTTACTATACATAACGCCAAACAATTATGCAATGCTCAGATATTGGGAGTGCAAAGTCATAGCTCGTTGCGACAGAATTACATACTTTGGTTTAAAAATTTTAAAAACAGAATTTTAATATTTCCTATTTCTGTTGACAGTCGGAAATGATAAAATAAAAATATAGTTATTTTCCAACTTTTCTTTTTTTCCATTATAGTTTTTTAAGCGTAACTTTAACTTCCAAAATTGATTTCCACACATTTTAGAGATTATTCTTTGGGGTAGACTTATCGCTTACAATCTTGATTTATATTTAGTTATTTAGTTGGACACGATAATACGAACACGTCTATACTTTTAAATGGAATACCAGTAATTTTTTGAACATGTATCCCTGATTTTAGCAATGAGCAATGATAATAAAAAAGTCTTGCATGAACCTATCATTTATTTACTAAAGTTTACGATTAAATTACCTAAGATTACGATTGAATTACTAAAGATTATGAATTAAAAGCCAATATATTGTATTATGATGAGGCTGTGCTTCATATTATATATCACATTGGTTAAATACAGATCATTCAAAAATGTGTATATGGTATTTGGATCGTTGAAATGCATGCCGCGCCTCTTTAGTATGCTCCTGTTCAGGCCAGGATGGCCAAATTGGGGTATCTAATGATGTTTATCCGTGTAATTGGTAACAATATCAGATTCCGATGGAACTAGCACCGGGATTAATTGTGGTCGTTTGCATGTGTGAAATGATAAACTGTGCTGATAATATAATGCAATGGCAACGTAGTATCGAACGAACGGTACTCAACTCAAGGACGAAAAATTAATGTATTTCGGAAAGCATACACATTTTCAAACTTCCTTTAAATGAAAAATTAACGTACAGACTTTAAAATTATTACTCTGTACAGTAGAACTGTGAATACCTGAGCGATAGATACTACATATTCTGAAAGAAAGGTTTAAAAAGCACACACAATACGCTGGTGTGACTTAATATGGGTGTACCAGCCCATTTTCCTCAAATATGGATATTTTCTTTTGAGATAAATCTTCTTTGGGACCAGTAAAAATTTTCATACTAAACTTCTGAATATTTTATTTCTGTATAAATATATTTTAAAGTTCTAAAAATATACCTACATACAAGTATGTACATACATTAATAGAGAGGCACTATTCATACTTTTACTCGACGTATTACCATCTGTATCTTGGAACACTAAATATGAACTAATATGAAGATTAATATAAATAAAACCCTATTTCAGAACTCAAAGGTTTTATTGCATTGTAGAATATTCACTAATTTGGACTTTCCATACTTTTTATATATCCTTTATGGGACAAATACTGTTGTACTAATTACTTTACTTCATATAAACAATCACATAAACTCTGTTAACTTTTACCCAGAAAATTCATCAGTTGTACATTTCCAATATGTAATTTTTTTAACGTATAAAATTTGTTTCTTTATTTATATAGTAAAGCCCTTTGATTATTTCACTTTCGACTCTATAATACAAGTATAACATTTGTATACTGATAAAACAGTGTCAGCAAATGGTTCTGCTTGAAGCTAAGTAGTAAGGGGTTGAATGCATTTTCCAGAAACAAGTTATTACTTCATAAAACAGCTTGTGTGTAGGCAAATGTATAAATATGACTTATTCATCTGATCAATTGGGTAGAATGATGTTTAGTAGAAATCAAAAGCAAGGTCATGGACACAAAAATATTGTTTCTTACTGATTGTGTGATCGGCGAGATCTAAGAACACGCCTACAATATCGCCATGCCCGCATTGTTTACCAAATGATTCGCAGGTACCTCCAGCAATTTTTTCTTCCTAATTAATTTAAAGTTAATAGAAATACTTGTATAAATTAGTAGAATAAAGGCATATTAGCTAAAAAAAATAATATTAATAAACTGATGAAATATTTGGACGTTCGTTAAACTGATTTCCGACGCCATTGAATTGATGCTTTATACGAGAAAAGTATTTGCTCTAAATATTGTATACCGCTCATTTGAATATATAGTATGGTAGTTAAATTAAATAATGAACAAAACAGCAGAATGAAAAACGCTTAAACTGAATTTATTGGCAAGTTAATTAAAAGCCTTACTGATGGTTCTCTCGAAGGCATCGATAAAACAACCAATAACGTCACCTTCCTCATACCGAACACCAAAGTGTTCCACGGATCCACCGTGCATCTTTGTCACCTATAAGTTTTTATATGCATACATAAATATGTATATACACACACGCACATGTGTATGATATATATAGTTAATAACGGCATCATGAGTATAAAAGTAATAGGTATATATATTTCGAATACCTCGACAGAGTTTCTAACAAATATTTTTTAGTACTACTAATAATACAAATGTACACTTACTGGTGATAGTTTTCAAAACTTTTATATATCCTCCCTTTACAATTTATTTTATATAGCCATTTCTCTGTGCCAATGCACTTCATATGGAAACAAATTAAAATAAATTTTAAAAATTACTCGTATTAATTGCCGAAAAGAGACCCCTCAACACAAAAAAGTTGAGATCATTGATACATTTAAAATATTATATGATCAACTAATTAATAGATTAGTTAATGTCAAAGTAAATCAAACTGTCATACCGGTACAAAATATGGCCAAGATAATATTATATTAAAAATTCTGCAAAGGTATTGTAGTTTTACGAGCATATGTATCTTTGAACAGATGAAAAGAGGAGGTTGACTTTAAAAGTCGTTTTAACTCGTATTATATTTTATTGAATATAAGAACATATCGTCCCAAGTTTTATATTTCATAAAACTTGTGGGCCATATATGTATGTTATGTAATGTATATATGTATATATTCGTATACATATGCATACAAAGTTTAATTGTTTTTTTGTCAACCATTTAACAGTTAAGAATTACTGAAATAAGGGACATTTGTCTTTAGGCAACATTGTATAAGTTCTTGATATAAATGCTCGTTAATATTCATAAATAAGTATATGCGCCTATAATTTTGGTTAATCAACTAGAGGAATGAGATTTTTACTTCCACTAAAACTTACGTTATGTCCGTCAAAAGCCCAACTGGAGTCGTCGCTGCCCAACATGATCCCTGGATGACAGTCTGCTCTAGCCCATCCTACACGCATTGGACCAGCAGTAAGAACTTCAAACTCAAAATACCATTTTCCAGATGTCACAGCATAATTACGTTCGACGCGATACGTGCGAAATGCAGCAAATTTTAATCGTTGCGCTTCGGCTAGTAATCCCTCATTGCCTTCACCAGTTGGTGGATCTAATATATATCCATATACCAAGAGAGTACGTACTGTTTCAGAAGCGGTATCACGATTCGCTTTTTTAATTGCCTCATCCACTTTTGAGTAAGGCACCAAGTGTGGGCTGCGGTGATTTTCGGAGTCTTCATTGAGTCCATAAGTCCAACCTTGTTGGATTCGCTCACGAGCCCATAAATTATGTGTATTTTCAGCCAACTGGTCTACTAGTTCCTCCAATTTTGGAGATAGAGTGACTGCATTGAGGTCTAAGGGAGCAGGTTTGTAGCCATTAGCCTGCATAAAAATTTCATTTGGTAATCGAATAGGACGAATACGCGCAGGCGGCTTATCCATAGTAATATAATATCCAAGAGCTAATATGGTCCTATGAAAGAAGAAATTATTAAATAAAAGTAAGTGAAGCATATTATACATTATTGATATAAATATAATTATACTATTCATTTTTGAGCATACTTCCTATGTACAAATAACGATGGCCTTCGTCACAATTCAAGCAATAATTTTTAAATAACCATATTAGTACACGCTTCAATATTAAACAAGTTTGAGATGGTTAAGTTCGGGAGCAGCCGAATATCTTGTAATTTGCAAGAATAAAATGTGGATAAACATATATTTTTAGGTACTGGCAAAACTTTATTACATACGAATTTAATATTTCTTATTCGACAAAATTGTTAGTATATCGCAATCTTAATGTTATCTTAATTTATACTGTTGGTCATTGCTTCACTTAGTTGTATTACTACTATTAACTACCTTATGGCTGAGATATTTATATAAAAATAAAGCTAATTAACACAAAATACTATACTCATCACGTTAGTGGAGTGGGAAGATACATATTGATACAAGTATAACATATATATCGGCATAACGCTAATCGGCTTTATTTTATTGCGATATCTTGCTATATAGCATCTATTTAATAATAATAAACCCAATATAAACGGTATGAAGTCAAACGGTAAGGGAAGGAAATGGCTGAACGGAATGCATTTACTATTTAATAAACATTAAACTAAAGTATACTTGGTAATAATTATAATCAACGCAGTATATGACGGCTGAGATAACTCACCGATTTCGCCTATTTTCGGAAATAAACTAAAGTATATACAAGATTATTCGTCCACTTAATTTTGCCAAGATATAAAGTATTACATATTAACTGGTATATACTTGTACATATGATAGCAGGTCAACCGGTTGTTTGAAACTCTTTATATTAGAAACGTATATGGTTCATCGGAAATAGAAAAAGAATTTTATTGATTTTTTTATTTGGAAAAGCACGATATTAAAAGTGGGTTTTTCAAACATATAAAAATATATATATTATTTTAATTTCAAGGTACCTTAAACATATAATTTGACTACTTTTGTTTGTTCAATATTTTCTCTTCTGCGTTCAGATTCAACACATTTATGTATAATCACATCTTTGTTTTTCAACCCCTTTTGAGTGCTGTGATATCTAACCAGCGGTCAAAGTCCCGTTTAGGTCATAAGTCTTATTTATTTTATTTTTTCTCAATTCAACATTCATTCGTTAATTTAATGAAATACGTATTATTATATAACTATATACAATACATAGATATGTATGTATATGTACATACTTATATACTTCTTACTTAAGTGTTTGCACCGCCAGTTGACTATCGTAGCGACGCTCTGGTAAAGGTAGTTTTTCAAATTGCGTAAGACATGGATGTATTCGTTGGTAGTCATCTCTGTGCTCACCCCAGGACCAGCCTGCTTCTATTTTGTTTAGTGCCCACATTTCATGGATGTTTTCTGCCAGCTTTTCCTTTATGTGATCCACAGAGGAAGGAAGTAAGACTCCAGAAGTATCAACAGGGTTAGGTACAAATGCAGTGTCATCTTCGATTAGCCACGGTCCAGCTAAAACATTTTTGTTTAAGTTTCCATAGTAAAAACAAGGATCCAAACTTAGATTTTGATGTGGCATCAAACACTGAACCAGTGGGGAGAAACCCAGAGGTGGAGCAAATTTAAGACGGCCGTGGTCTCCACCAAAAAGAAAGCGACAACTAAAATTCAGTATAAAATAGAAAAGCATATATGTATTATTTTTTATTGAATAGATAATATAGGTATACTATGTGACATGTATAATATTTTTTGTTACAACTAACCTCAACTTTGAAGAACAACTCATTACAGGGAAGAACATTCCATCCAAATTAAAATCCCTGAAACATCCGAGAACCTTGCTACCGTTAAAAGAAAAAGTAATAATAGGTATTGAAAGATCGATAGTAACGCCGATAACATCTCCTTTTCGAATATATGGTTCTTGTGGTAAGTTGTTAACAACCAAAGTTCGTCGACCACCCGTCCATAAATGGGCGCCGTCAAAACCGAAGGAATAAAGATCATCACCGGCACCGTTTCCTCCCCACTTTTTTCCACCACCTGGATATGGAACATAGCCAGAGGTATTGGCCCATCCTATTCTCAAATGTGGCATCATGTGAGTAGTTTGTTCAATATGATCCATAGTGACTTCGAAGTACCACTTTTGGTACATCGCAGATCCATCTACTTGACCAACAAAAATATTTGGACGTATGCTAAAAAACGTGTTAATTAAATTTTCTCAGATGTTAGTTAGACTTAATACGAATTTAAGAAAAATCACCTGGCGACGTGATCTACAAGTTGTGTTTGCAGTAATAAATTTTTTCCAGGCAACAGAAAATCGCAAATATTATTTTGGGATGATCTAACCGCCACTCCATTGCCTACGCACAGTGAACATAGTACATCAAGAACTTTCGGGTCTCGCCCATGTTTTTCAAGTAATGAAATTATTACTTTAATATGTTCATCGCGCATCATATTTAGTGCTTCCGGGGAGTCAATTAAAACACAGTGCAATACATCCAACATGCCGGATCCTTCACTAGATGCTTGTGAGCCTAATCGTGAAAATAGCCAATTTAGACGGTTACTGTTGGCAAACTGAGCACAATTAGTATGGTTCCCTTTTATTATTGCGGCCAAAAGTTGATAAAGGTAAGTCGATATTAGGTCCCAACTTTGACCAGTCTCATCACCTGCCAAATAACTGGCTAAAAATCCTTGTGAAGTGATAACATTAATTTTATCAATAGCCTCCAATATTAGATTTAGAACACCTTCTTCTTGAAAGAGATCCTGCCGATTTCGGAGTGCTCGAAAACGATTTTGCTTTTCTTCGTGTTCTGAAATTTTAATGAATCAATAATAATACATTTGTATTTTTATAGCTTTTTGAAAATTTAATGATATCATTTTTATTTAAATAAAAAACAGGTAAGGATGGGCTAAGTTCGGTACTTTCAGGTGTTGCAAAACTTTATACAAGGTGCGTTCCAAAGTAAACAGTAAAAAAGTAATAAAGTAAACTCTAGTGGCACCATCTATATGTCGACTAGTGCGTTAGAATCTACTATCCTTTATCGACTTCTAGTAAAAATTTCATGACATTTCATCTATTGGAAGTGAAGTTATTGCGTTTTAAGTGTCAGTATGTTTTTGTTATCGGTGCGAAAATGAGCTTCGAACAAAGAGCCAACATTAAATTTTGTTTGAAAATTGGTAAAACTTTTACCGAAACGTTTCAATCGATAAAACAAGTTTATGGCGATGATTGCCTATCCCGTAGCAGAGTGCACGAGTGGTTTCAACATTTTCAAAGTGGTCGTGAGGACATAAATGAGAAATGAGTCTAAACCCAAAAAATCGCGCATGGAGAAGTCAAAAGTGAAGACAATGCTGATTTGTTTTTATGATTTCAAGGGTATTGTCCACAAAGAATTTGTTCCACCTGGCCAAAACGTTAATGCGGTATTCTACCTTGGATTTTTTAAGCGTTTGGTGCGCCGTATTCGACGTGTTCGGCCCGAATATCGCGAAGATGGAAGTTGGCGTTTGTTGCACGATAATGCGCCGTTTCATCGATCGACGCATGTGGCCGATTATTTGACCAAAAATCACAACCACTCCCCGTATTCACCTGATATGTCACCGTACGTCTTCTACCCTTTCGGAAAAATGCTTTTGCCGATGAAAGGACGGCGTTATGCAGACGTGGAGGCCATTAAAAAGGCTTGCACCGGCATACTGGCGGCCATACCGGGCAAGGAGCTAAAACACTCGTTCGACATGCTTTTGGACCGTGCAAAAAGCTGTATTAAAGCAGAAGGAGACTATTTTGAGTAAAATTAATTGATTTTGCCGATAAAACCATCTGTTCTGTCTTTTTTTTAGAAGTCCTGTTTACCTTGTATTAAAAAAATTTTGAGTAAAAGTTCAACAGTTATCATACGATGAAACTGTGAATAGATTATAATCATAATTAGTACCTTATTAACTTTTATTATAAGTCGAGTCGAGACTCACCTTCATTACAACATTTTGCTCGTGACAGAGATATTTATATTTAAATCTACCTAGTTAAATCAAATGAGATGTATATATGTGATAAAAACTCACCTAAAGAGGCTAATTTTAATATATTGGGTACATAAGAAAAGCATCAACCAGAGGTTCGGAAATCATTAATCGAAAGATCACAGTAATTGGTTTGAAGCAGGTGGAAAGTGGAAGTATGGTAACTATATAGGGAATATTGGAGCTAGTGAAAGGGCTGGACTGGTTGCATTAATTTTAAGCATAACACAAATATATTTATATAAAGATAACTTACACACTGACCGAAATATTCGGTATAAAATCTGCTAGAATAACGAAAAATTTTATATAATGTGTTATATTGGAACTGGAGCTATAGTTTTCGGTATTAAACTATAGTATATCCAATATTATATTTCATATACATTTGCTAAGATATTTTACATATTGACCGATACATACGGTATAAGTCCAACTGGTAATGTGAGGTCCTTACTTAAGGTATATAGCAGCTAGGGGTAGTTTTGACCCGATTCTATCCATTTTTAGCACATAGTCATATTGTTACCGGAAAATTACCCTATTTAAATTTCACACAGATTAGTATAAAGACAATATATAACATATAAAGTCAACCGGATGTTTGAAAACCTTATATTAGGTATATGGGCACTAGGGGAAGAATTTCACCGATTTAATCCATTTCTCACAGGTTGATTGATATTTACTCGTATTTAAGGTGCAAAGTTAACCGAAAGTATTAAAACTCTTGTATTATGTATTTGAGGGATTAAGGAAGTTAGGACCTGATTTTACCATTTTTAACAAAAGTTCACCTTATTACTAGGGAACGATGCTCTTTGAATTTCTTTAACATATCTCACAGACTAACCGATAATTTAGGTAAAAAATCAGGTTGAGGTCCACATTTCGGTATAAGGGGTCTTGAAAATTTGTGATCCTATTTTGATGGATGTGAGATGGTACACCTCAATGGTACAATATCTTCATTCGTGTTTGCTTCATGTACTGCAAAGTGAAAAATTATGATAGATAGATAATTCGATTCCGTCCATTTTTCCCACATTGTAATGTAACAATTATATTGTATGATGCAGCAAATATAGTTGAAATTGGTGAAATAGTTAAAAGTGGCGGTTCTACCTATATAAGGGTTTCATCTTATCACATTTTTACAATAATTCCTATGTGATCATTCCGGACCATCTGAACTGTTAAAATTAATTCTTTTAACGTATTTCGTTAGTAAAATTTGACACTTATACTATTTTCACCCATTTTAATGCTGTATGAGCAGGAGCTAGAAGAACAAGTCCTCAGAATTTATGGTTACAGTAAACTTACTAGGGGTGCCACCATATATCGATTCTCTGTACAAAACTTAATATTTTTGTCTTAATTTGTGGTTTTATAATTTTTCGCCTAACGACATTTTGTGAGCGAGGCAATATTGCAATTGTATAGACATTCGGGAGGAAGGATCGGCGGTGAATCTCGAAAGAGTACGTAACAAACTATATTTTTTTGGCGTTATATCCGTCTCGATGCCAAAAAAAAGGACGTTTTCTCCCTTTTCTAGATTGTCACGAAAAAGCCGGTAATGCCATTGCAGCTTTAATTTCCAAAACTTTGGAAAATTTAAACATTCCTTTGGAAAACTGCCGTGGACAGGGTTACGATAATGGTGGTTATATGAGTGGTAAATATGAAGGAGCGTAAAATCACACTCAACGTAAAAATAAGTATGCAGTTGGCCCTGTGTTGCTCACACACTGAATTTGGCTTAAGTCGACTCTACTGAATCTTCTCGAGCAATAACTTTTTTAGTGCCGAATTCTGAAATCCAAAATACCCAATTCACTTCACTGTCTTTCTAATACCGCCAAGCCATTTGCGAGAAATTTTCTCTTCAAGAGATTAATGCTACAATCTACGATGAAGTTAGAAGTGTAAAAAGCCTGCAATTTTTGTGCGACCAATGGAAAGCAATTTATAATGAATGCAAAATTGTTGCAGAGAAATTAGAGTATGACGGGTCGATGTTACCAACAGCAAAAAAAAAAAAACATGAAAACGATCTACAATGAACTCAACGCAGCTACAAACAACTTTGCAAAAAAGTATAAATTTAATATATATGATAAGTTTTCCAATTAATCTATTCACCGCAGACAAGTCTACGATACCATTTTTGAAAACCGTCTTACTCCATACAACTTATTGAATGCCACATCGCTTTAAGAATATTTTGCACTTTATCGGCACATTCGCAGCCGCCAAAGCTTGAAAACCTCACTTCTAAGTTCCAAATAATTAAAGATTGGACGATTTGAACTGTGTATTCAAAAACTTTATCTTGATCGTTAACAGGTTTCAAAAGAACCGTTTTTTCATTAATTAGATCGATAAATAAATGTTTGAATGAGAGGTTTCTACCTTCTTATTAACTGTCAAGTCTGGCTATCCCTATGTTCACATATTCCGGTATACCCTGAAAAAATATTTTTAATTGAAAGTCTCTGTATGAACTGATTTATACATTATTGATTTTCCAACTCGTACAAAACAAATTTGTTCCACTCAACATCAACAAGAAATCAAATTGAATACAGATGTGATGAGAGTATAAAACTCTACGTCGTATTTGACTATAAGAGCGTTCTGTACTCTTAATTCCCAAATATGTAGAGTTCTATACTCTAATAATTTAGGTTCCTGTCCTTGCAGCAATATAATGAAAATAATGAATTTAGAAATAGTTACGTTACGCTTAATTTTCAAAATAAAGTAGATTTCTAATAACACATTTTTCTTTAGAAATACTTACTACTCTACGAAATAAAGTTCTGATGTAAATTGTAAACAAAACAAAATTTAAGGGAGTGTGGGTGAAGAAGTTTAAAGTTCGAAAAGCAATAAAAATATATAGAACATTGGCACAACTAACTTTAAAAAAAAAATATTCCACACAAAAAATTTCCAAAATAATTATTTATTGAATTAATATGTATATATTTTGAAAATGGAGGAAATAACTTAATTTTTTTCATATTTTCATTTAATTCTAATGGGGAAAGTTAAGTATAAGAAGTTTCGCAGTCTTGCAGTGTCACCAATACTTATTTATGTTTTAGTGAGGTTGATATTTATAAAATTAGATTAGAATTAGAACGATTAAATTAAGTCAAACCAGTGTGGTAGAGCAACATTGTCTTTGACAATTGCAAACATATACTACTTTTTTGTATCTTATGTGCAAATTTACATACTAACTGTATTATAATAATATATCATTAATATAGGAGGTGTATAATACATATAATATATATGTATGTATGTATTTATTTCCTGCTGCATAAATAATTATATAATGATTTTATTAATATTACTTACCCATGTCATCTTCAGGTTGCGAAAAGTAATTTATTAAATCCTCAAGGCACATGACCATTTCGTTTAAATTTACTTGTTGAAAGAATATTGAATGTCGTCGATTGGATTGTAGTGTTTCCAAAGCACTAAAATTATTTAAAAAATGTTAATATTTTAATTTTTGACGCATATGATAGCCGGATCTACTTTTAAGCTTGGAATCCTATGCGTTTAATGAATTGAAGAAACTTGCACCTACTAACGTAATATTAGCTGTCTTCGAATCGCAAAGAATTGTTCTCCAGCGAATGGAACAAAGTATACCAGATGCTCAAACAAACAAGCAGCACTTGTAGTATAACCATGCATCTTTTTTGACGTGTTATGATTCCTTCTTAGTGGAGAAATTATTTTTGTTAAAAAACATTGCAGAAATCATTTATTTTTGTTTTCTATAAATTAATATAGTTGATTCTACGTATTATGTTTGAAATAATACAAGAAAAGAATTAAATTAGTATTTTAATTTGTCATTTGAACCAATAGTAAAATTATCTAAAATGTGCAAAACAAAATTTGGTATCTTTGAAAATAGCGGCTATACCACTTTTATGAGGTATCCGCATATTCTCTTGTACGAATTCAACTCGATAACTTTGTTTTTGCTTTTACATGTAATTTGACCAGGAAGCAAGCGAGCAGAGAAATGACGAATCGAAGACAGCTATTAATAAGTAATATAGCAAACTAATGCTGGAATTTGAAGAAAATTAGAAATATATCTTGCTGAATTCATTTTAAAATTTACATAATTACTCAAGATATCATTTGCCGGGACAGACAGTAACTCGTCTTGTCATCCTGACAATTAATACATATATAACTCTATATCTATCTCGATTCATTTTAGATGTCATAGACAACCATTAGGGGAATTTGTTGCAACGAATTGCAAGAGTATAAAAATCAAATCAAAATATGATAAAGAAACAAGTAAGGAAGGGCTGAGTTCGTGTGTAACCGATCTCTTGGAACTTGCAAGAAACAAAGGCGCAGAAACACCTTCAGGTTTTGATACAATTAAAACTAAAGAAAGTATCGCCGTGATTTCATTCATTTAAGGAAAGAGGATACACTGTTATTAAAGAAAGATTATTTCAGAATTGAATTCATTAAGAATTCTTACATATTGACCGATAGATGCGGTATTAAGTGATCCCAAGGTTCAAAAATATTTATGTTATGTATATGGGGGCTTAGGGAAGTGTTGACCTGCTTTTAACTACTCTTGGCACAAGTTATAGTGCGATTTCGACATTTTTTGGACGTAAGATGAAATATCTTGAGGGCAATATTTTTGCAAAGTGTTATTCTGATAGCTTTATTGATGTTTAATTCATATACTGTAACGTGAAAGAATCAGATGGAATTTAAAAGTTTGTTATATGTGAATTAAGCGTGATTTTCATCCGATTTCGCCCTCACGTAACCTCACACACCAAATTTGGTTTGAAATCGGTCGAGTAGTTCATGAGATGTAAGATTTCACCCAACCTTGTTGTGAGTTTTAATGAGGCTCATTTATTCAGTGAGTTATAGTACTTTTAGTAGTTTTTAACATAACCGTTATATGGGGAGGGGGCGTGGTCATTATCCGATTTAACCTTTTTTCACAGAGTTTGAAGAGGTGATAAAATCACTTCTTCTCAGTAAGTATACTTATAGAATATACAATATACTTAAATAGTTACTTGATGAATTGTGTAAAAAGACTACTGCATTTTCGAATAACACGGGCAGTTTTGGATTCCTCTTCTTGAGATCGTGAAAAGTCCAAACAATCGTCCATTTTTCCCTCTTCATGAAGGATTGCCTGCTTTTCTTCCACTTTGCCGACACCCTTTTTCTTAGTTTCATAGCTTTTGTAGCTAAGCCACAGGCTGGACTCACAGTGCTGCACAATAACAGTCGTATCGCCATATTTAATGATAGGTACACCGATTACTTCTAGATCTTTATCCTCCAGTACTTTTTTCTCGTCGTCTTTTTCTTGCCTTAAGCAGAAAGTCGTTGATGCAATAGAAGCTTCCTCTTTTTTCACCTATTAAAAAAAAAAATTCAGTTTATACCTATACCAATGGTAAGGGGCTCCGTTAGTTACCAAAACTAATTCGTTATTTTCGTTCACCCCAAGATATCTTCCAGTGGTAATATGACGTATGCGCATTGGATGATACCAGTTAATAAAGCCACCAGTCCATTTAGTGCGTGCCAATTCCAGACGCCACAACGATCGAGCTTGCGACATTACTGAGCCACCCTCATACACAACAATGCTGTGATAAAAAATATTGTTGGAAAAAAGTACGCATATTTAAAAGCGAGTTAACAAAATATAACGTTTAGAAATTACTTCTGGCCAGGTTCACGACCCCATGTACTTGGTATAGTTAAACATTCATCACCGCCATGAAAAAATCGTAAAACATCACCGCCAAACACATATCCAACATATTTAACTCGTGATATGCCAGTACCATAAGGTTGCACCGACCAGTGCGTTACATGAAAACTGGCGTTAACAATTGACTGTTCGTTTTCTTTAGTGGTGTGCTGTGGAATAAAAAATATAATGGTATTAAATAGTAGATGGTTTGTTTGAAGTTAGTATATACCAAATATCGTTCGGTGGCTACGGAGACTAAAATCAGATCATCACCCACTCGTACTTTCTCGCCTTCAGACCTCTGTTTACTTGCTGGATGTACTGTCCACCAGCAAGCCTCACCTTGGCTATGTTCTTGCAATCCAACGTCGAAAGACAACTTATCGTTCGAAGAAGAAGTGGAAAGGCACGCTAGGTACTGCCGGAAATAAACAAAATTAATATTAAATATTAAACTAATTTATTTATACTTTATAAAATGTAACAATGTTGATATACCAATAATCCTATGATTAGTTTCAGTATTCTTACCATATCACTATTGTGGTGCCGTAAAAGTATAGCATTACCATAAAGCAATGTCCTGTGACCAGATCCAGTGCCCTTTCCCTGGAAGTAAGCAAGGCATGTCGAGCATGCATGTATTAAAATATAATACAGTATAAATTGCGGTAGAAGCAATAATACACAATGATACAATTTTATTATAATATGATTAATTTCTTAAACACATATGTACATATGCATGTATATAAATATCGTTATAATTTTGAAACAAATAAAATAAGAAAACTTGTTCGTATATTTACATTTTACTTATTATCTAAAATAAACAGACGGACGTACTTGCACGTTTATAAGATGGTCTCATCTATAAAATATAAGTTTCGCCAATTAACGCTGATTATTTACATATATTTTCATGCATATATTTTAATGTCTTTATGAATTTATAAATATTTTATGTGTTTAGATTGTTTGGCAAATATAAATAAAAATTTTTGTAAAAGTTTGAAGACAATGGTCAACTGTTAAAGATTTGATTAACACCATGCTACTACTTGTCACTTAGTGTGTGGCATTGTGAAACGATCAGAGATTAATAAGCTTTATTTAGTTTTAATATTCAATTATTTATTTGCAAGTTACTTCTTACTTAGGAAGCAACTAACAAATCATATAAATTCCAACAGCTGACTCGCAGGTAGAGAGAAAAATTTCTCCTTGCATCATGCATCATAGCGGGTTGTTAACTTAAACAAACAATATCTGCTTAGGCCTGTGCCGGTGAAACTTTATGTACTTTGTTGTATATATGTATAACTGTTATGTGTTACCAGACTCAAATTTGACATTGCATAATTTACGAATTTATTTACTTTTTATTATTTTACAACTTCATTATAGACACAGGAATGGAAGGCAAAGCAATGCAAAAAGATAAACAACGACATTCAAGTGCAATGAAACCCTTTGGAATGCCGTTTAGTTTATTCAAAATAGTTGAGTCATTTCAAAGTTATAAGAGGTTTACATACATCCACACACATACATAATGACATACGGACATCATCGTAAAAATGTTCGGGGAAGCTTCCTCGACCCTCAGAACGTCGAGATGAGTTGAGAACTCGATTTTTGCAAAATGGGGTGATACCAATAACTTCCAGATTTTTAGAAAATTTTCAATTTTCTTAGCGGGAAGTTAAAAAGTACTTATTTATTCATCAATAT